AAAATAACTTCTGTGTTTGTTTTAAGTCACTAAGTTTTGGGGTGATTTGTTATGCAGTCCTAGATATCCAAAACACCACGGATTTTGTAGCATCCTTCTGGACTTCTTGATCATCTTGTCAGAGCACTTTCTCTGAAAAGTTTGTACAGACACTCTTGGATTGAAATATCTGAGACTTTATATTCCTAAAAATAAATTTATTTTTCTCTATCACATTTATTTTTTTAACTTTTATTTAATAAATATAAATTTCCAAAGTACAGTTTATGGATTACAATGGCTTTCCCCCCCCCATAACTTCCCTCCCACCCACAACCCTCCCATCTCCCTCTCCCTTTCCCATTCCATTTGCATCAAGATTCATTTTCAATTATCTTTATATACAGAAGATCAATTTAGTATACATTAAGTAAAGATTTCAACAGTTTGCACCCACACAGAAACACAAAGTGTAAAGTACTGTTTGAATACTAGTTATAGCATTAATTCACATTGGACAACACATTAAGGACAGAGATCCTACATGAGGAGTAAGTGCACAGTGACTCCTGTTGTTGACTTAACAAATTGACACTCTTGTTTATGGCATCAGTAATCACCCTAGGCTCTTGTCATGAGTTGCCAAGGCTATGGAAGCCTCTTGAGTTTGCTAACTTCGATCTTATTTAGACAAGGTCATATTCAAAGTGGAAGTTTTCTCCTTCCTTCAGAGAAAGATACCTCCTCCTTTGATGGCCTGTTCTTTCCACTGGGATCTCATTTGCAGAGATCTTTCATTTAGGTTTTTTTTTTTTTTTGCCAGAATGTCTTGGCTTTCCATGCCTGAAATACTCTCATGGGCTTTTCAGCCAGATCCACATGCCTTAAGGGCTGATTCTGAGGCCAGAGTGCTATTTAGGACATCTGCCATTCTATGATTCTGCTGTGTATCCCGCTTCCCATGTTGGATTGTTCTCTCCCTTTTTGATTCTATCAGTTAGTATTAGCAGACACTAGTCTTGTTTTTGTGATCCCTTTGACTCTTAGACCTATCAGTGTGATCAATTGTGAACTGAAATTGATCACTTGGACTAGTGAAATGGCATTGGTACATGACACTTTGATAGGATTGAATTGGAATCCTCTGGCACGTTTCAACTCTACCATTTGGGGCAAGTCAGATTGAGCACGTCCCAAATTATACATCTCCTACTTCTCTTAATCCCACTCTTATATTTAACAGAGATCACTTTTCAGTTAAATTTCAACACCTAAGAATAATTGTGTGTTAATTACAAAGTTCAACCAGTAGTATTAAGTAGGACAAAAAAATACTAAAAGGGATAAAGTATTTCTCTATCACATTTAAGTGATAAGCTAATAGTTAATGAAAATATAAGCCTGAAGTCCTTTTCCTTCAAATCAATGTCTATTTTCTTTCTGTCCCCATGTCGCTATTGTAAACTCTTTTTAAAATTTTTATTACTATAAAGAGAAGAATTTTATGTATTTCAGAAATACAATTCTAAGGAAAAAAAAATCATACTTCCCTCCCTCCCTTCCTTCCTCAACCCCCCTCCTTCCTTCTTTTCTTTTTTTTCCTTTAATTTTTGCAATAAACTGATTTCAATTGACTTTATAATCACAGGCTTAATGCAACACTAACCATAATGTTCCACAAGTAATAGATAGAAAAACACTGCTCCACAGAAGTATAGACAAGAGCTTAAAACAATCAAATCATAATGAATGTTTAATGCCTGCTTCTTTATAGATGATCTTCTGTTTGCCCCAGTTACAATAAAAATTTTGCCATTTTGTTTTTTAAAAATATTTTATTGGAGTGAGTGTTCGGCCCAGTAGTTAAGATGTCTTCATCCCACCCTGGAGTGACTCAGTTTGAGTCCTTGCTCTGAATCCTTATTCCAGCTTCCTGCTAATGCAAACCCTGGGCAACAGCAGTGATGACTCAAATAATTGGGCCCCTGTCCCCTCATGGGAGATCTGGATTGAGTTCCTGCCTCCTGGCTTTGGCCTAGCCCACCCCTAGCCTTTGGGGAATGAGCCAGTGGATAGCAGCTCTCTCTCTTTCTCTCTCTCACTCTCTTTCTCTCTCTCTCATTCTGCCTTTCAAGTAATAAACAAGTAAAACATTAAAAATATGTGTAAATATAGACTTTTCCATATTTATAACATTTTTACTTTATGAGCCTCAATTTCTTGAGCCATCGCCTGCCACCTCCCAGGGTGCATATCACCAGGAAATGAGAAGCAGAACTGAGTCGTGAACCCAGGCCCTCTAATATGAGATATGTGTGTCTCAATCCAGCTTCTTAACTACTGCACCAAATACATGCTCCCTAATTCTTACTGCAGTGCTCCTGCTCCATCTTCTCCATCACGTGTGGTTACATCAAAGTTGGCAAAGACACGCTAGAAGTCCATGTATTCGCTATCATATTAGCTGTAATAACATTATAAAAGTAGACTATTTTCATATAAGAAATTCTCAAAGTAATATAGAGAATGATAAAAGAAATGATTAACTTTGTTGCTTAGGTTGCTTGCATTTTCTGGAGCTTTTTTTGAGCTTTTTTGGCATGATCTCCTCCCCCCCTCCCTTGTTCTGTCCTTTCGACAGCAGAAGTGGACAGTGAGGAGAGGGGAGACAGAGGAGATGGTCTCCTTTGGCCGTTGGTTCACCCTCCAATGGCCGCCGCAGCCAGCACTCTGCGGCTGGCGCACCGCGCTGATCCGATGGCAGGAGCCAGGTACTTCTCCTGGTCTCCCATGGGGTGCAGGGCCCAAGTACTTGGGCCATCCTGTACTGCACTCCCTGGCCACAGCAGAGAGCTGGCCTGGAAGAGGGGCAACCGGGTCAGAATCTGGTGCCCCAGGCAGGACTAGAACCCAGTGTGCCGGCGCCGCTAGGCGGAGGATTAGCCTAGTGAGCCGTGGCGCCGGCGCGATTCTCTTTTTCTGATCAGTCTGTACGAGGGGAAATGACTGATTAATATTATGCTTTGGAGTTGGGCATTTGGAACAGCAGTTAAGATGCTGATTGGGACATCTGTGTCCCATATCAGAGAGCCTAAGTTTGAATTCTGGCTTTGCTTCCAATTCCATCTTCCCATTAATGTGCACTCTAGGAGGTGGAAGGTGATGGCTCAATTAGGTGAGTTCCTGCACCGACGTGGGAGATCCTGATGGAATTCCAGGTCCCTGGCTTTAGCTTGCTGAGCTCCAGCTGTTGCAGGCATTTGAGGAGTGAACTAGCAGATGGGAGATGTCTCTCTGTCAATCTCTGTCTCAGCCTTGTAAATAAGTAAAAATATATAAATAAAAATGTTTTAAAGATTATATTTGAATCATAGGGTTTTTAAAGATTATACATTTTTTGGTATATGTGTAAAAATGCATTTAATCAAAGCTTGTGTCTCAATTGCTTTTAAAGATGAGGACAGAAGGCTATCTTATGATCAATATTTGCTATTTTATTTTGGAATATCATCTATATATACGATTCTTCCCTTTATTTCCATAAATTGCAGCAGTATTTCCTTATAAACAAAACTGGGTAAACATTCTTTCTGTTCCTTCAACTTCTAACCCTGACTGGTGGCTGCTTAGAGCAGCTGGTAGCCTGGTATACACATTCCTGTATATTTCTGTGACAATTTTTTAGTTCTTTGCAATACTAAGCCACAGGAAATCTAGGAAAATAATAGAGACTGAATTTTTTTCTTATTTGGACATCACAAAGAAATTATACTCACACAAATGACTGGAGCTAAATTCAGTCATTTAACGGTCTAGCAGAAATAATAACAAAATTATTTTTAATTAAGTATTTGTTTATTTAAAAGGCATAGTGACACAGAGCAAGAGATCTTCATCTGCTGACTTACTCTCCCAAACACCTGCAACAGCCAGGACTGGGCCAGGCCAAAGCCAGGAGCCAGGACCTCCATCTGGATCTTGCATGTGAATGACAGGAACCCAAGTACTTGGACCATGATCTGTTGCATTAGCAGGAAGCTGAATTGGAGGCAGAGGTGGGAATCAATCCCAGGCAATCTATTATGGGATGTGATTGTCCTAAGCAGCAGCTTAACTGACTGTGCCATCACGCTTGCCCCCTTAAAATTATGTTTTGAGCAACTGCTAACTCAATGTCTGGATCTTTCTGGGGAATTGCAGAGCATGCTAGCTAAATAATGACAACCAAAATGCTCTTCAATCAAGCTCTGTTTAAAAAAAAAAAAAAGAACAGGAGATGCAATGGTTTTAGTTGTTAATGTGTTTATTACATATTATTTTTGGAAGATAAACCTCTTGTGGGCAGACCAGATCCTATGCCCCCCTTCATTGCCTTTCAAGATCTGGGAGACTGAGTAATCAAGATTGAGCAAAGAACATGCAGAGTGTCTGCAACACTTTAAACTTCACAAAGAAGTTACCGAGTGGAAGGGGACAAGTGCAGTGACTGATCTTCCTGACAAAACGTCAGCATCTTAACAATGGCTATGAAAGCTTGATGACCCTTAACATCTTATGGAACAAAGAAGTCGGTAGAAAAAGGTGAAAATGTTGAAGGGGGAATATAAGAAACACAAAAGGAAGATGACAAGGTGACAAGTTAAACATAATCCACGGAATAAGAAACGTCAGAAGCCTCCTCCGCAGTACACCTACAAACACTTGCCCTTATATTAATACATAAAAGAGAGAGAGCCTCTCACTGTAACTCCTTGCCTTCCTGGGAGGAGGGGAATCAGGTGACTTGGCAGTGTGAGGGTCCTGGCGGGACAGATTTACAGAACAATGCATCCAACACGTTGTATCTTAATCAGTCTATGATTTGCTACTTCCAAATCCTGGTTGTTGGAGTCTTCGAACTCTTTCCAATTTCTTCTTTCATCACTGCACTTGAAATGTCTCAAAAGAGTTAATAGATTAAAGTAGACAAATTCACTGTTTAATCCACGTGTGTGCTGGGGAAGAATGGTAGGGGGATTTCCTTGACCTGAAAACTTCCAATTAAAGGCAACTTTCAAAGAGATAGAGAATAATCAGTCACTTATGATATGCATTCTGTAAGCATATGAGATACTATCCAAATTTTCAATTCACACTTATTTCTGATAATATCTGATATTTCTTTAATGCCTTTGACCTGGCTTCAGTGAAGCACATTGCACGCTCTGAATTACTTCACCTATTGCTTGGTCTTAAATTCCACCCTGCAGGGGAAAGCATTTTGTTGTAAGCAGTACTTTCTATCTAAAAGAGAATAGTGTTAGAGGGAATAAGACAATGGGATTCAAAACAATATAAATGAGTTATTCCTATCTTTAATCAGGAAATGCAATAGTTGAATAAGATTAAGAGGAAGGAAAACCCTTCAATGAAGCACAGAAAGGAAGAGATGAAGAGTTTGGAGTGAGCGGCAACACATATCTTCTCAGTGAATAGAATTTATATATAATAATTGATGTCACTTTCAAACACCAGGTGCAGATCTCCCAGTTTGTGGCACATTTTCATCACTGGCTATAAGAAGACCCTCTTTGATTTTAAAATTTTTTTTCCATTTTGTTTCCATTCCTCATTCCCATTTCACCTTCCCATGGGTAGCATGTGCAACACATTAAATGTGTGTTCTTTTGGTCCTCATTCTTGCAAAATGCATACTTTAGTATATATTTTATTTACATGAATGATATTCTATCTATTTTAATCTATTTTAAGTTTTTTTTTTTTTACTCAGGACCATGTTTTAAGATCCAGACATGCTGCTGTATACACATGCATCTAGTCCTGTTCCTGTAGCCACCATGCAGTGTGTGTTTTCTCTACACGCTCTCCCAGTGATGTGCACCCAGAGGACCCTAGTAACTTCACTCTGAATAATGCTGAAGTCAATAACATGCACATGATCCTTAAGGAGTTGTATGAGAATCTCTGACTCTATTTCCAAGAGCAGAATACATTTAAAGCATTTGGATTTTTTGCCCCCCTTTTTTATATGTAAGATTGATATTTTCATTATCACATTTTATAAGTGAAGAATTGAAAGGGTCAGACATTAAATGAGATGTCCACTATCACTGCATGAATAAAGAGAGGACCCCAGGAATGAACTTTTCTCTTCTGTCTACAGCATTCTTCTTTGTTCTTTTTACACCAGCATATGGCCTTCACAAACTTGTTCTATCCTGAAATCAGAAAGTTGGGATTAGATTTATTGCATTCCATTTCCTACAGCCTAATGCTGCTCTCTCCTTTGTGAATATGGTGAAATAGTGACTCACAGAGTGAAGCTAAACATGTGGGAGACACAAGTCACATGTTGACTGTTGTCAACTCCAATAGTTTCATTAAACTGTTTTCTGGTTAACTAGAAACAGTGCCTTGCTTTAAAATCAAGCAAATGCCTGCACTGTGCTGGCACAGCTCTTAAGGGAAATGTCCAAGATGACCAGTTTCTGAAGGTCCATCAAGGCAAGGGCAGTCAGCATTTAAAAAAAAATTATTTATTTATTTAAAAGTCAGAGTTACAGAGAGAGAGGGAAAGATCTCTCCTTTAGTACACTTCCCAAATGGTTGCAAAGGCCAGGGCTGAGACAGGCTGAAGCCAGGATGCAGGAGCTTCATCCAGGTCTCCCATGTGGGTAGCAGGGGCCCAAGCACTTGGGCCACCTTCTGCTGCTTTTCCCATATGCATTACCAGGGAACTGTATGGGAAGTGGAGCACCTGGGACTCAAACTGGAGCATCCATATGGGATGCCAGCATTGCTGGAGGTAGCATTACCTGCTACTCCACAATGCAGGCCCAGGAATCAGCTTTTGATTGGCATCTCTTGTGTGTCAGACATCAGAAGGCCTGGCAAAAAGTGACCAGGGACTTGTGTAAGAGGAGACTTGTTTTACAACTGCTTGAAAAAAGAAAATGAAGAAAAGCCACCCTATGACAAATTCCTCAAAATATTTTGTAAATAATGATAACTAATCTGAGTGGTCAATCACATTTTGTAGTTCATGCAATCATTCTATATGCATTGCTTGGCTGTTTTTAATGTTATTCTGAACATTGTCCCTACATTTTTCTGATACTGTCATAAGGCAAACCCAGAAGCCATGCTGCAATACCCCTGTTATCAACATGAGATTCTCAGTCTTCAAGAAGTCCTAGTGCAGTCATTCCAGGCATTTTCAACAGACAGTTCTGTCTTTTACAAGGGTTTTGAACTTTGATGCTGAGTCAAAGAATCCCCTTACAAGGGAGAATGCATATGATTATTCACAATGGAAAGAGTGGACAGACTTTTTTTTTCTTGTTTTTATTCCCCAAACAATACAGTATAACAACAATGTCATTGCATTTGCATGGTATTAAGTGTTTTGAGTAATCTAGAGATGATCTAGAGAATAAAGGAAGGTGTGTCTAGGATATGTGTAAACACTACAGAATTTTATATAAGGGACTTGAGCATATTCAAATTTGGTCATCCGTTGAAGTGCTGGAACAAATCCCCTGCAGATAGTGAGGGACAACTGTACCAAGAAAATGAGTCAAATGATAGCCTAGATGTCATTTTCAGAGCCTGTAAAACAAGCATTAAGAAGCTGAGTTAACTGACAGACCAGATTAAAATTTTAGGAAGCAAATTCTCTTAGGTTCCCCCAATTGTCACGATATTTTTCAAAAGCCATCATAGCATATTAGTCTAATGAAAAAGCATTGAGCTTATTTCAGGCAGAGGCCTGGGTTCTAGATGCTCTCTCTGCTGCAAACAGCCTTTTGTGTTGTGAACTCCTCTGGGCTTTTGATGGACTAGACAAATGCCAAAGATGTTGTCCCGTTAAAAAATTATTAGACTGTTAACCCTAGAATAAAAAGCAATCTACAAGGGAGCCTTAGAATACCATGCTTCCAATTATGCTCATTTTCTAGTTTGGGGAGATAAAAACACAAATTACTCTTTCTTTGGATATTGACACTTCTTTCTAGACCTATTAATCTACTAACACACAGTGAAGCTCTGTTCTAAGAAGCAGGTTGAACACAGGAATGCCTTTCCCTTTGGTTGCATAGCCTAGGGAGAAATGCGGAGTCCTTTGGAAAGACTCTTCAGAGAACAGCGGTTTCACACTTTAGCAGTGTCAGATGCTCTCCAGTTTGCAGGGCACCAACCCCAGACTGATGGTTCAGCAGGTCTGAGACTTTGTGTTTCTGACAAGTTCCCGGGGTGATGTCACTGCAGCTGATCTGGCAGCCACAGCTGAAGAACCACTCTGACAGAAGAGTGTTTGCTCATCTTTGAGGCAGAGAGCTGAAAGTCTCCATATCCGCCTTGTCATGATCTTGGATTTCTGGCTTCAGAAGATTTTATTTTCTGCCAATAATCATCACAGAAAAGAGGAAAATACAGAAAATGGAGAATAGGCGAAACTCACATACAGTCCATCCCTGCATTTTTCCTCTCTTCCTCACCCAGAACTGTAGATGCTCCAATTCACATACTCAGCTCAAAGCACAAAAAAACTGCTGCTTTATTGAGTTCTGCATCGTGAGTTTTCAGCAGATTCCAATAGATACAGCTCACAGATCAGAGTGCAGAAATGGGTTTCTCCCAGAGTAGTTGGTATTGAGTATTTTCCTCTATACTGTGAAATGTGCTGCTCACTTTGCACATATTATTTCATATAATCCGTAGCACAACCTGATGAGATGAGTTTATCTTTATCTCCATTTAACATTCGGAGAAACCAAAAATCAGAAAGGCAAAGAAGGTTGCCTGAGGCTGTTCAAAAAAAAAAAAAGATAAAGTGGTGGAGCTAGGATTTGCTATGTTAAGTTGCCTGAAAGCATATGATGCTGGATAATCACAAAACACCCTTTTTATTGTTTACATTCTGTATAGTGGGCCTATCCACAGGGATAGTGTGGGAATAAATAAGATAATAGACTTACCGAGTGTCCCGAGGAGGGATATGTCAGGCTATACAATAGTATTCTGCAATATTTTAGATGTTACTCTCTTTTTCTATAGCAATCAAATACTAATTCTGTAAATACTAATAAAATACTAATTCTGTAAATTTATTATCATCTATTTTATTCTGCATTTCTGCTCCTTCAAAAATTCTTGTTATGTCCTATGCATCCCTTTTTCCTGCTGACATTCAAGGAACTACTTAAATATTTGAATTGCAATGTGCAATCCATTAGAGAGATGTCCTGGTGTCACTGGAGATACATGGGAAGAGACCTACTTTAGGCCTTGGGCTCCAGGCTGGCCCTGCTGCTGCTCACTGTGAACCAGGGGTCACTGCTTTTTGCATTTTCATCTGATAGGTTTGAGCTTCATTACAGATGTTGAATTTTTCTCCACCACAGTTTAGGATGGATGATTTTCACATTCACAGACCCAGGTTTGGGTGAAACACATCAACACATTGCAAGGATGCAAGACAAATAATATTGCAGACATTTCTTTGAATTGTAACAACTGTAAGAATGCAGAGAATGCAGGTTATCACACTCACTGTCTATAGACATGAGCAGTTCACAGGAAGCTGGCTGTAATTCCACTTCTTCACTCTTAGTCAAGAAAGCACCTCAGAATGCAACTGAGACTGGTGACATGGTCATGAGCAGTCTCTGGAATCTGATCCAATTTATTTCTTAAATAAATCATCTACAAAAAGCAGTACATTATTATATATTCAGTACTATTAAGAGATTATTGGTGATGGCATTCTCACCTGACCACTGCTCCGGGGTTGAAAACCACAGGACTGTTTGGCTTCATATCACTTCTGGCACAAACATTTATGGTCTTACACGTTTATCCATTAGAACTTTGTGATAGTTGCTGTGAAGTCCCTGTTTTGAAAATGAGTTACACTGCATGATTACTACTAACCTTTGTTCAGTCTGTTGATCTGAAAACAAAAGTGCTGCAATAATTTCTTGACAAAACTTATTTCTCCTACAGAACTCATTTCTCTACAGAATCCTGAGAGCCACAGACTTTGGCAGGCTGTGAGGTGCCTGCTGGCTTGGTGAAGATTCTTTTTCATCTGAAGCCAACATAAACTGAATGTTGGATGGGCGACACAATATAGCCCATTGATGTATGGGTGCCTGAGTCCTTCAAATGGAGAAATTATTTAGGTTAAATGGCCTATTCTCATTTTTACATTCAGAGTTTCTCCTTACTTATTTCCCTTTGGGATTATTAAAAGCTTGTATGGGGAATTTTTAGAAAATATTTGTAATCTCCATAAGGACAACACAATATTTGTGCTACAATTTCCTTTTTAAACAGTTTGATCACTTAGTATTTATCCTATTTATCCTGGCGCAAAGGCTTCAAAAACAGGATATTCCCTTTAAGTCTTATTTTAGTTATAATGTAGCAAATTACAAGCAAGCTTTTACAATTTTCTGCGTGGAAGTCTTGGAATTTCCACAGCTTATGTTCCGAGCCAAAAAAAATATACAGGGATGGAGCATAGGGAATTTTTGAATTCACTTGGTTTCCTTCACAGATATACTTGCTTAACAAGGCAATGGATTTTAAGCATGATTTGGAAATAGAAAGTTAGTTTTCGTGAACTCAGAAGAAAAAAAATGGTGAACAAGTTTTATCTCTAATGATGTCACAGCCCAGGAAAAGGTGATGGCTGAGTTATCTATGAGGTTTCCCCAGGCAATCTCCGGTACAGGAAGACCAAACATGGTGCGGAATTGAACGAAACTGACACTGTTTTGAAAGTAGGCAGCGTGCTAGAGTGGAAAGTACACCCAAAGTAGAATCAAGAAGCTTAATTGCTAGTCCTGGTTTTCCTATTATCTAGCTGTGTGTCTTCCATAATTCAGTTAAACTCTCTGCTCCTTAGGTTATTCCTCCTTTTAGTGGAGATATTTTCTAGAATTGTTAGAAGACTCATATGCCATAAAATGTCTTAAATAATTTTAAAAGTATAAGACACACTTCGAGTGTGAAATATCTTTATAACATCTTTTTATAATTCAGTTAATCTTTGAATACACAATGCTTAGATAGTATGGCAAGATTAATTAGGGCATTTTTACTTGTCAATACATGGTGTTTTTATCACTAATATTTATTTACACTCTTATAAGTCTAACCCATTCATTGGAGCAAGTTCAATGAATATGAGAGTATTTCAAAAAAGCTTATGGGGAAGTGAAATTAAATAAAGTTTATTTTGGTGAAAATATTTTTAAATGCATGCATAGTTTTTGATAGTATATTTCCTAGGACTTTTTGAAGACTCCTCATATTAGTGACTCTGCTTTATTACATGAGAGAAGCATATTGAGTTCCTAGAATTCCTATTAGGATCACACTCCTCCACACTGCTCTCCTACCAAAGCTCAATGAGCTTTTGGAAAGGCCACTTTTCTACTATGAAGCTAGACCCCGAATATGGTGAAAGTTAGGTCTGATTCCAAGCCTTCCTCTGATAGCCCGTCTTCCCTTTCATAGCTCTTGGCAAATCTGAAAGTCTGGACTTGTTATTAATACATCTCTGTATATCCCTTATTCTGAGCCAATTCTGCATCTCCCAAGACTTTTGGTGTGCATTCTAGAATTTAAGGTCAGTCATCTTCAAAATTCCTGATGCTGTTTACCTTCTCTAAGCCTTCCCTTCATCATCTTATTCTAACAGAAGCCTTACTTGGTTTGATAACACTCCACTGAGCCCTGACAGATGGTAATCCCACATGCCTCAGAGCCTGCAGAAGACTCCTACTTCTCACTGCCACTTTCAGAACATTTCTGCTCTCCACCACTTTCCATTTCCTTTAACCTCCTTATACTTCTCGTGACCCTACTTATTCTTTAATGATTTGGACACCTGGTTCAGGCTCTTCTTCTCTACCATGCCTACCTTTATTCTTTGTAATGTGAATATCCTCATGGATCTGGTCTTGGAGCTCCTCAACATCCTTTCTTATAAGAATTGTTGCCTGTACCCAACCTTAGTCGTCACTTCCATGACCATTCTCTAAAACTTATCATCACCTGTAATATCCCTAACTCTGAAACCTTCATACTAAGATTCCTATTTCTGACCACCACCTCCATATTTTTCTCATTAATTCACTTTACTATACTCCCAACTAAACAGTTATTTTATTTGTCCCTACACATCATGTTCCAGACTCATCCCACACTCCCGTGTCTTCGCTTCCCACATTGTCTTCCCAACTTTGGTTAATCCAACATTACACTGAGCTGAACCTACTCTGCTGTACTTAAACTTGACTGGAACAAAACTAGCAAGTCTTTCGGTGTGTAAAGATATTTATTTCACACCATTGGTATCTATATTTCATGTCACTAACAATTCTCTCCTCCTTTTTAATAGACCGGGGAAGAGCAGCCTCTCAATGAAATTTGTTATTCTGTTCAAACATTTTATCCTTCCACCTGGGGTTGGCTTTCTTGCTGTTCTAACTTACCTTCCCTTTGCTAGTCCATTTGCTCTTCAAATGCCTTTGTTTAGTCCACTGTAATGCAAACACCATGGAAGCAAGGGTATTGTTTGCTTTTTCACCACTGTATTCCTAAACATCTAGCACTGTGGTTGGCACATAGGAGGTAATAAATAAATACTAATTTTGTCACCAACATTAGTGTAGAAAGAAGCGTCTTTGTCCAGGGGCTCCACGAGAGACATTGGAACATATAGAGTAAACTAAAGAGTCTAGAATCTATAGCCAACATCAGAAAGCCTGACTAAAGCATACAAAAGCAGTGAAGACAAGAAATAGGATCTTCATGAAATTTCTATAAAGATGTGCCTTGTGAGAAGACCTCTATTAGTTTTCCTGGGGTCATAATGTCAGGACCTGCAGATATTTGGCATCTATGGTTCTTTAGCTACTCATTATTAGCTCACAAATCATCGCGATAATAGAGAAGAACTTTAGAGTCTCTCTTGTGACCATCTGATTTGCAGATGACATTACTTGGACCCTAGAAGTGAAGATTCTTGCTTCAGATTACCCTTTTATTTATAGAATATAGATAAGAACCTAAATTTCCTTACTCTTACTCCTTCCTTTTCTCATGGTACCCTGCAAATATCAAAATGTCCCAAAGAGTTTAGCAGTGTGATGCTGTGTTACACTTCTTGACAGGCATCTAGGTTCCAAAAGGAAACCTTATTGAAAATTGGAATCTTAATTTAGCATATAAATTTTAAAAAAATCATGCTTTAAAGGCAGATTTCCAAAGGTACTATTTTTGGTGGGCTGGGTGTGGTGTTTATGCTAAAATGAAATGGCAGAAAAATATGTTAATTGGTTTTATATATTGGACTCTGATAACTGTACATTATATGGTCATTCCCAAATTACATGACTATTCGTAAATAGATATAACTCACTGTGTTCAGAGTGATTTTCTCTCATAATATTTGCTCCTTTTTTTCTTTTTTGTGTATTTACTTGCCCTTGTCTGTTGCAGCCTCATGAAATGTCCTCTCTAAGCCTCCTCTCACAAATGTAAACAGACGTTTTGCAATCATTTTAGAAGGGGAGATCTGAACATTTTCATCTCCCTAACTCCTCAGTGTTGCTTGTGTTACAAATGAGTAATGGACTTGGATTCATTTGGGACCAGGAAATACTGCGGGATGGGGTTCACTGGGCTGCCTGCCAGGAAAATCTCACTTGGGTTGACCAGAAGCAGCTACAAGAACATGGAGAGGAGTCATGTTTTGGGGCTCAGCGGCCCATTGATTTTTCTTCGGAGTTCCAACAAGGGGCAAAGGGAATTGCTTCTTTGGAGTGACAGTCTTAGGCCCCAAAGTGAATCTGGGGAAAGTATTTCCATACTGTCTGCTCATACCTTTCCTTCTCAGATGTGTGGCTGCAGTATTTAAAATACAAAAGTGTGGTGGTATGAAGCTTATAGAAATAGGCTTGAGAAATGGGTGCTGTCTTGGGTTCATTTGCAATATTCATAGTGTGGACTGGCATTGGATTTCATGGGCTTCTGGGTCTTTGAAATGACAACATGGATGCTTGGAGGGAAGGTGCATCCCTCCAACAGAAAACAAGGAAGTAGCGTGGCACAGTACACCAGGTAAACTGGGAGGGAGAGGAGTTGGCATTTAGACCTAGTTTCTGCTACTCACTCTCTGTGTCAGCTTGATCAAGTATCCAGCCTTCTTAGAGCTTGTTTCCTGATCTACACCATGAAGATAAAATATGCACTTTGCCTCTTCTCATGGGATTGCTATGAAGCTCCTAAGAGATAATCTTAAAGCATTTTGAACAACTCTATAGGTAGTTATGCATATGGGAAATGTTATTAGTAAGTGAAATGTTATTAGTGAGTGAAAGGAACATAGTGTGTTATTGCCCTATGAATTTCAAATGATGTCATAAGAACTTGGGGCAGACAGAGCATCAGATCAGGCCATGTGTAAAACTGATCAAGACAGCCCGGGGCTGTGGTATAAAGGGCTAAGCCTCAGCCTGCAGCGCCAGAATCCCGTATGTGCTCTGGTTTGTGTTGTGGCTCCTCTTCCACTCCAGCTCTCTGCTATGGCCTGGGAAGCAGAAGTTGGCCCACATGGGAGACCAGGAAGAAGCTCCTGGCTTCAGATCGACTCAGCTCCAGCCTCAGCTCCAGCCGTCGCAGTCATTTGGAGAGTGAACCAGCAGATGGAACACCTCTTTTTCTGTCTCTCCCTCTCTATATAAACGTACCTCTCAAATAAATACATGAAATCTTAATAAAAAAAAAAAAACTGAACTAGACTTCTCTGCCCAAAAAGATGAACCCTGTAGAGAAAGTAAAGCTCATGCTGGAAACAATATGTAATAGAACAATGTAAAGGCAAAATGCTTTCAAAGAATGCCAGAAATGGGGAACAGCAGAGAGGGTGGAAGTTCACCTCAAATAGTAGAATTGGAATGCAGAAATTAAATACGTGGGATAGTCAAAACCAAAATGATTACATTTTGAATTCTGTTAAATAAATTTGCATATAGGAAAAGAAAAATATGTTTTATATTGGCAGTCTACTGTAATAATTCAGCACTATATTAAAATTAATAAATCATATAAGTGTGTGCTATAGAATTTTTTACTCAATAATAAGTAATCTTTGTTTTCAAAATTCCGGGAAATCATAATAAATTCATGGTAAAATAAGATTCTTACCAGACAATGATCCTTCCTGTGGTTTGCATTCCAGAAAGTCTCAAGTTTACGTCCGCTTGATAACGCATTTTATTTCCTGATTATAGACAGATAAGTAAATGACTCCTCTTCTGAGTCACAAGTTGAACTGTGTGAAAGTTCTTTACTGAATCCTTATTCTAATATAGAAACTGTGTCCCTGTCATTGTTTATACCCTCCCAGGGCTAGCAGAGTGTTTATGTCATAGTTTCTCAATAAACATTAAAATTAAATTTCCAGGTCTGGCGCTGTGGCACAGCAGGTTCAAGCCCCAGTCTGCAATGCCAGCATCCCATGTGGGCACCGGTTCGAGTCCCGGCTGCTCCATTTCCGACCCAGCTCTCTGCTATGCCCTGGAAAAGCAATGGAAGATGGGCCAAGTCTTTTGGACCCTGCACCCATGTAGGAGACCTGGAAGAAGCTCCTGGCTCCTGGCTTCGGATCAGCTCAGCTCTGGCCATTGCAGCCAACTGGGGTGTGAACCACCAGATGGAAGACCTCTCTCTCTCTCTCTGGCTCTACTTCTCTCTGTAACTCTGTCTTTCAAATAAATTAAATAATTATTTTTAAAAAATTAAATTTCCCATATGTTCAATGAGATTCGAGTAGACGTTACCATCTACAGTGTCTTGAAAAGCTGTTTTAAAAGGGCTAAACTATTTTCAAATAACTGTCTTTCAAATAAATAAAATACAATACATCTTTAAAAAAAAAAAGAAAGGTGTTTTCCTTTTTTTCTGCCCCATTCTGATAGGTCCTTCAACAAGGAATTACCCCACTTCCCACCTGGGTAAGGACTGCTGCTGGAACGAGTCACAGTTATCACTAAAAATGTCGCTTCCCCCAGTGTGAGGCCCCTCAGGAAAAAAGCCAAGAAGCTTCGCTCCAGAGAGCCCCACAACAAACTGACTACCTAGATGTCCTGAAAGAGTTGGGGTTGCCACGAATTCACTAATTGCTAAGCAGGCTGAGGACAGCATGCCTGATGCATCTCAGGGCCTACAGGGACATCAGAAGATGCTTGCAGTTAAAAAAATACATGATTTCTTTATTTGAGAGGCAAAAGAGGCCGAGAGGGAGAGTGATAGAAAAAGGATGCTTATAATGTGTATGCGGGTACTGAGGGGATTGGTGAAGTCAGTGTAGCACTGACCGTAATAACAGAATCTTAGCATCAGAGGGCACCTTAGAAAACATCCAGTTGGATATATTGCATGAAGCAAAAACTTCAGATCTACCACATTGCTCACAGGTGTCACCCATGCTTTGCAGAATTCATGATGATCCATAGTATTGTTGAAAAGATTTGATAGCTAAAAAGACTTTTAAAAATTTTTATTTATTTATTTATTTATTTGAAAGGCAGGGTTGCAGAGAGAGAGAGAGAGAGAGAGAGATCTTACATTCGCTGTTTCACTCCCCAAATACCCTCAATGGCCAGGGCTGGGCCTGGCTGAAGTTAGGAACCGAGAGTTTCATCCAGCTCTCCCACATGGGTTTAGGGGCCCAGTCACTTGGGCCATCTTCTGCTGCTTTCCCAGGTACATTAGCAGGGAGTTGGATAGGAAGTAGAGCAGCCAAGACTCCAAATGCCATCCATATTATCACAGATGGCAGTATAACCCACTACACCAAAACGGCAACGCCTGGAAAGTCCTTTTTCACAGTGAAGTTAATAATGTTGTATCATATTACTACATACCATTTATATAGCACTTTGCTGTATTTAAAGAGATTTCACATAAAATCATGTAACTCACTTGGCTCTACTATCTACATTAGCATTTGTAAACCTATTTCAAGAGACCACATGTACTCACACAACATTTCTTTTGTTGTTTATTTGACAGGTAGAGTGGACAGTGAGAGAGAGAGACAGAGAGAAAGGTCTTCCTTTGCTGTTGGTTCACCCTCCAATGGCCGCTGCGGCCAGCGCACCACGCTGATCTGAAGGCAGGAGCCAGGTGCTTCTCCTGGTCTCCCATGGGGTGCAGGGCCCAAGCACTTGGGCCATCCTCCACTGCACTCCCGGGCCACAGCAGAGAGCTGGCCTGGAAGAGGGGCAACCGGGACAGAATCCGGCACCCCGACTGGGACTAGAACCTGGTGTGCCGGCGCCGCAAGGCGGAGGATTAGCCTAGTGAGCCACGGCGTGGGCCACACACAACATTTCATAATGCCTAGGTGGAAAACTGGACTTGAACTCAGGACATCTGGGCTCTGAGGCAAGCTCTCTTTCCCACTGTTATCATTTCTTCAGTCAACAATGGTTTACTTTCTGTCTACTGGTACTGTGTTAAGTGCTGAAGCTCTAGCAGTGACTAGGACAGACACATTTTTGGAACACCTAGAACTAATAATCTATTAACTGTCAATTGGTGGGTCTTACTTTTAGCCCTCTGTTTAGCGCAGAGGAACAAGTAAATTCCTTCCTCTGTACGTTAGCTGTTCAGTTATCACATTGCTTTGGTTCTCTTCTCCAAGGAAACCACACTCTAGTTCTTCAGTAGCTTCTCTTAGGTAGGGATTTTGGAACCATCTATCTTCTTCATCCCTTCTCCCTGGACACTACCACTTTGTCAATCTCTGTTAGGGAATGGACAACCTGAAACAGACATGCATGCTCCCAATATAAGGCCTGATGAATGTGTTAGGCTCAGAGGCCGGGGCCTCAGGTGATTACAAAGTTGAATTACTATGAGCTTATCACAGCTATTGCGTTTTCTCATGGAAATACTGGCTCATGTTCACAATATGCTTAACAAAAACCACCAGATTATCTTTCTATGGATTATGACCAAGTCAAATCTCCCCCACATTATACTCAAGCTGACATTTTACATTTAAATGCTGGACTTCAATGCATTCCTATCAAATTTCACTTCATCATTTGGACCATTATTATATCCTTTGGGATATTCCATATCTTGATTCTGTTATCTATAAGGTTAGCTAGGAGCAGGCATTGTGGCACAGCAAATTAAGCCACTGCTGCCATGCCAGCATCCCATTTTAGAGCACCAGTTTGAGTCGTTGGCTCCTCTGCTTCCAATCCAGCTTCTTGCTAATGCACCTGGGAAGGCGGTAGATGGTGGTCCAAGTACTTGCATCTTTGACCTGGTTGGAGTTCCTGCTCCTGGCTTTAGACTTGCCCAGCCCTGGCTGTTGCAGCCATTTGAAGAGTGAACCAACAGACCGAATCTCTCTCTCCCTCTCACTCGTCTTTATCCTCTCTCTCTCCTCCATCACTCAGCTTTTCAAATAAATAAACAAGCAAATACATCTTTAGCAAAGGTTAGCTAGCTTTTCTAGTCTTACACTGTGAATAAACTGATAATCATGTGCTCTATATTACTGATAAAAATGTTAAATTGAACAAAATCAAAGGTAAAATTCAGTAATACTTCATGCAGTTTAGTCTCAGTGTGTTAACCTTACTTTACAATCCTATTCACTCGTTCCAGTTTTAATAAATGCTTCAAACTAGGCTAGATGATGAGATTAAAAGATAAAGCTGGGCCAGCGCCATGGCTCACTTGGTTAATCCTCCGCCTGTGGCACCAGGATCCCATATGGACACCGGGTTCTAGTCCCGGTTGCTCCTCTTCCAGCCCAGCTCTCTGCTGTGGCCTGGGAAGGCAGTGGAGGATGGCCCAAGTGCTTGGGCCCCAGAACCTGCATGGGAGACCAGGAGGAAGCACCTGGCTCCTGGCTTTGGATCGGCGCAGCGCCGGCTGTAGCAGCCATTTGGGGGTGAACCAATGGAGGGAAGACCTTTCTCTCTGTCTCTCTCTTTCACTGTCTACAACTCTATCTGTCAAATAAAAAATAAAAAAAGATAAAGCCATGTGAATTAGCATACTAGGAAGGAGAGACATGAGTGATTGTAGTACAGCAGGTGCTTCACTGCAATGCACTAGTGATAGTGAGGCCACAGAAGGGGGTGCAGTCAACTCCTTCTGAGAGGAGCAGGGAGGCATGCAGGGAGGTCAGACAGCATGCAGCTGTAAGGGTGTAAAGAGGAGCTGGATCAAATACTTGCTGAGATACTATGAGTTAAATCAATAGATCAGCCATTTCTCCAATGTTCCAATAATGGAGTCACATCAAAACTCAGAACTGAAATAATTATCCTGACTTGGTTATAACAGTTTTTCTTTGGATTCTGTTGGTCATCCTTCTTTCCACCTCAGAGCAATGTGCTGAAATTCTACAATCCCGTTTTCATCTATTCTTAAAGATGAATTTACATGGTGCCGATGATCATTTTCCATGACATGAACACTGTCTGCTTGTTGAGCAGCCATTTTCACCTGAATCTACTTCTCTGATCCCTAGATATTTGGCAGGTTAAGTTACTAGGTGGAAAAAGTGGATTTATAAGATAATGCACATTTTCCTTGAACTTTTTGAAACCCTTTGCGTCACCACAGCCCTCAAATACCTTCTTTCATTTTTTCTCCCCTTCTCCCTTTGTGGGAGCCACATAGTTATCCAAGAGGAGGTCTCAGACTTCTCTTCAGCCACGTAGTGACTATCGTAGATTCTAAACCTCAGTCACGGCCTTTGTCACATAGTACAGGACTGCTTCTTGTTTCTGAGTGTTCTAGAATTTAGCATTTTTACATATTAGTTTGATAATTTTGGGGAGTTTCTTGTCCAAAGTTATGTCTGTTGGCTCTTTTTATGTTCACTAAGTAGAAAACGGCACATTAGATATTGTGGAAGCACACATAGTGATGAACAAGAACTGTCCCAGCCTGTGAAGGGAACTTACTATCTAGGGGCTGTATCTTCACGTGTATAATACAAGGAAGTCGCTATTCCGGTTCTTTTCTGATGGGCAAGCATTTTGCAGATTAGGGCTATGTGTGAGCAATGTTAAAACAGTCACTTAATTGGGCTCTAAAAAAAGGCATTTCACTAGGAGGGAAAAAGCATAAAACTGGTTATCATCTCCCTCTTTAACAAAAACAACAAATTATTTTTCGCGTTTTAACTAGGTTTGTGGTTAAATCCCACAGCCCAAGAGATTTACCACAAGAAACTGATCAGCTGGATTCCCTGCACTTGCATTAAAGTCTGCAAAAGACTTCCAATTACTCAGCAATTAAACCTTAAGAGTCAGAGCTTCTGAAAGAAAAGGAAAAGTTATTCCCCTTGTTTGGCAGCAACACTCAGTAATAGTCCATTATTATTTTCTACTCAAGAGAGTCATTTCAGAAAGTTGATGTTTTGTTGTCAAAAGAATTATTTTAAAAAAAGAATTATATTGAATAAAAAATGTAAACAAAGATGTTATGCTGTCTGCTTTTTAAAAAATGAGTCATCTGAAGAATGATCTAAATTTTGAATTGCAAATATATTTTCTTGATGGAAAATATCAGTTCACGTGACTCTGCTTATTTATCCAGTTGAAAAACTAGAGTATAATTTACTTTTCTCTCCCCCTTCCCCTCTCCCTTCCCTCCCTCCCCTCATTGAATTCGGAACGCTTTGTCTGTTCTGCAGCGTGAATTGTCTTGCTTCTTTCTAGCACAGACCTCAAGTTGGAAGTGAAAATCGGGGAAAACCGGCATTTTATACTCTTGGAAGAGTCTTATTTTCCCAGGACAGAGAGAATAGTTTCAGTACTGAGAGCTGCTGAAGGGGTTAATGCTGGAACTTGGCCCAGTGTCTGTAACACTTTTTTCCCTGGCTCTGGCCCGGGTTTCCCCTTGAAGGGATTTCCCTCCTCCTCTTGCAACAAGACCCTTTATAAAGAGCAGACTTTCTATTTCACTCCTCACTCAGCCTCACTGGCTTTAGAAGCTGAAAACTCTTCCCAGGCACTTTCAGGTGGGGCAGAGAAAAGGCTTTTGGAACCGTTGTACTCTCATCACAGCAGCTATTTAAAATGCCTGGGAAGATGGTCCTGGTCTTTGGAGTCTCAACTCTACTTTGGATGATGATTGCAGCTTGTAAGTTCTCCTTGATCTGTTTCAAATGCTAATATTCCATTTTAATCCTGGTTTTCACATCAGTCAGTTTTGCTAGTAGTGAAGAAAGGCATTAGGACTTGAAACAGTAGGAAAAATGAATTTAACCTTACTTTAAAGGTGCTGTTAGTTTTGCTGTAAATCCTGACGTAGTTAGAGGTGCAAAGTTGATATTTTTGATATTTTTTTCTAGTCAAATGAGTCAATTGAATTCAATCTCTACTGTGTGCGTTCTCTTTAGTTTTTATGTCTTTCTCCTAATGTCAAATTTGTAATTTGGTTTCTATTTCTAGGAGGTCTGTTTCTAGTTTCCTGTACTTGATAACAAGGTCAAAGCTAGCAAATAACAAGCCAGCTTTGATAAATGGGCTTCAAGGTTGGAGCTGAGAGACCTTGTAAGCGAGGATGATCTCAACACCTTCTTCCGTAGTACCTTCAATGCTTTTGGGCCTCCTTGCAGTTAGGGCAGAGCAGTTTACAGAAGAGATGAGCCAGATCACATTTTGGACATTATACTAGCACAGAGAAGAGGGAACATATGAGACAACCAGTGGTAAGTTTGCTTTTCTCCCTTTTTTTGTGTTCGCAGCTCAAGCTTTTAAAATTGAGACCTTCCCCGAATCCAGATCTCTTGCTCAAATTGGTGACTCTGTCTCATTGACTTGCACCACCACGGGCTGTGCATCCCCAACATTCTCTTGGAGAACCCAGATAGACAGCCCGCTGAATGGGAAGGTGAGGAGCGAGGGGACCACGTCCACATTGACCATGGATCCTGTGAGTTTCGAGAACGAACACTCTTACCTGTGTACAGCGACTTGTGAATCCAAGAAACTGGAAAAAGGAATTCAGGTGGAAATCTACTGTGAGTGCTTTAGAAGAATCTTTGACTTTTTCTTCAATTTTGCTTTAAAATCATTTTTAAAAAGTGTCTTCTTTGAGGAGTTTTTAGAAGGACATTCATGTTCAGATTCATGCCTCGGGCAAATATGACATCAAGGAACCGAGAGACAGATGAAGGTAGCACTAGGCCAGGAAGCCGAATCTTGGCTTGTATTTGCACCTCTGCCATGGTAACTCAATCTCCCTGGCTCCAGTCTCTTAGATGTAAAGTTAAAATCTCTATTTTTTTATTTTACTTTTTAAAAATTTCCTTTTGATTATTGCCTTACATGTCTACTTGCTCATAGATCTAAATGATTTATGAATTCCACCCTTTAGAGAGTATTCATTCATTTATTCTTAGGTAATTTGGTGCTTAAAGTCAGTTTAAAGAATATGTAGATTTATAATTTATAGGTAGCTTTCACACAGAACTTTTCTCTTTGGATAATAAAAAATAGTTGTGACTGTTTTCCTCATTTTACTTAGGTGCCAATACATTTAAGATTTTTTTTGACGTCATAACATCTTAATGCTCAATTTCACAGATATTGGCATAAATTTAGGTTTGCATCCTAAGTCTGAATGAATACTCCTTGTTACCCAGTGTGCCAAAATGCATCCCACTCCATTCTCAATTCAGCAGATCAAGGTAGCAAGAGGACTATAAAACTAACCCGACAAAAATCATTTGCCTTTGTGTGCTGATGGCCTCGAATCCTAAAAACTCAACTGTACTCAACTTGTTTATCATTATTTCTTCATGAAGACCACATTTGATTATCTTATAATTACATCGGTTCTCTTCTATTGTCCTGCAGCCCAAATTTGCCTAGTAACCTTAATTGAAATTTCAACAAGCCTCATGTGTTGTTAAAACTTCCCAAGAAGCTGTCTGGATGGCTGCTTTCAATTATGCTGCTTGTACAGGCATAGTTTATGTCTGTGCAGCCTCCTGAGCTCCTTGAAAGGTCCTCTTATGTAAATACAGGGAAAAGTAGCAAGTTCTCCTATTACCCAACATCAAACTGTGCAGATTACAGGCACATTTCTTACAGAATATGAGGGAAGGAAATTATCGGTGGGGAAATGAAAAAGTACTGTGTTTTTCACATAGCAAAGCTTTTCCAAGTCCTTTGTCTTTTGCCCACAAGTACCAAATAGTTGAAGATTTAAAAAAGAGAAATGAAGCCCCTTCTGTCTTTAATTATCTTGCCTGAGTTTTTTCACCAGTAATGTCTGTTTCTCATTATGTTTAACAGTTCTTTCTCTGCTCCACATTTGATTATAGTATTCTTTAGAGTTGGGGCCTTTGTATTCTTTTTACTACAAAGTCCTAAATCTACAGATGTGTTATGGTCATGACCATATGTAACGTAAAAAGTAACTATTGCGAAGGAGACAATCAGATACTGTGTTATCTTGTACTAGAAGTTTCAGTGGTGTACTTGTTGGGACTTTGAGTTAGGCACTTCAGGGGGCAAATCTGTTTTTCAGAATTTAAAGATTACATGGATGCACCTTTATGGTAAATGAATTCTTGTCATAGGCACCATTTCCAGAAGCCAACAATATAAAGTCATTCTTTTCATTTCTCAGCATGTCTGTACCATAAGCATTCTTTGCAATGACAGACTAAAGCTTAAATTCCTTATTTGTAAAATGGAAATGTATCTGCCTTGGCTAAAATAAAAGAATGTGATATAACGTATTATAAACCTACAATAGCAATCAAGAATGATAGAAATCCTCAGTCCCCAGTTTAAATCCTAGGTTTACCATGTACTAGCTGTATGACCATGCACAAGTTAATGCAAATGAACTAAGTCTACTTTGTTTATTTGAAAGAGGAAAAAAGAGAGAGAGAGAGAGAGCCCCCATTGCTGATCCATTCCCCAAATGTCTGCAATAGCTAAGGTTGGACCATGCCAAAGCTGTGAGCCAGAAACTCAGATCTCTCATGCAGGTGGCAGAAACCCAATTTATTGAGCAACCACCTACTCTCTCTTAGGGTGCACATTGGCAGGAAGCCAGATGGGAAGTGGAACTGGAACTTGAACCCAGGCACTTCACTATAAAATCAAGTGTTCTGAGCAATATCTTGACCACAATGCCAAATACCCACTCCAGTCTAAATTTTTTTTTAAATTTAATTTTAATTAGTTTTTAATGATTCAATGTGATTTGTAACTATAATTCTAAGAACATAATGGTATGTTCCCTCCTTCCTTCTCTATCTTCCTCCCACACTTCTTCCTTCTCCCTTTTTTTTTTTTTGTTTTTGGGATAATATATTTTAAAGTTACATTACAGTATAAAGGCTTAATAGTTTACTGAATAAGAAATTAAACTAGTAAAAAGCAAAAGTACCCTAGTTTAGTGGGAATATAGTCAACAACTATAGACAAAAATGGAATAGAAAAATGACCATTTGATCCATATACAGTAAATTTTAAACTAATCACAGATCATAAAGCTATTGTTGTATAAAATTCTTAACTATTGGTTTGACATTGGTATAAAACAAGGTTTTATTAAATGGTATTTGCCGTAGTACTAATATGCACAGATCTTTTCTTTCTCTCTCTCTCTCTTTTTCTTTCTTTCTTTCTCTCTTTCCTTCCTTCCTTCCTTCCTTCCTTCCTCCCTCCCTCCCTCCCTCCCTCCCTTCCTTCCTTTTTTTTTTTTTTTTTAAATGTTAGCTCCCACATTTAAGGGAGAATATGCAGTATTTGTCTTTCTGGGTCCAGCTTATTTCCCTCAACATGATGGCCTCCAATTACATCCATTTGTTGCTAATTTTGTTGTTTTTGTAGTTGAATAATATTTCATTGTGTATAATACCACATTTTCTTTGTCCATTCATCTGATGAAAGACACCTTGGTTGATTCCAAATTTTGCTCTTCTGAACAGTACTGCTATAAACATGGTGGTGCAAATATCTCTTTGATACATTGCATCCAACTCTTTTGGGCATGTACCCAATAGTGGGATTGCTGAATCATATGGCAAGTCTATTTCTAGTTTTTAAAGAAATCTCCACACTGATTTCCACAGCAGCTTCACTAATTTACATTCCTACCAACATCTTCACCAGCACTTTTTACTCTCTATGTTTTGGAATTTAGCCATTCTGACAGGGGTGAGGTGGTATATCATTGTGGTTTTGATTTCCATTTCCCTGATAGCAGTGATGTTGAGGAATTTTTCTTTTTTTTTTTTTTGGCCATTTATTTCTTCTTCTGAGAACTGACTATTGAATTCCTTTGCCCAATTCTCAACTGAAATGGTTGTTTTTTGTTGTTGAGTTGTTTTTTAAGTTGCTGATATATTTGGGATATTAATCCTTTGTCAGGTGGTCTGCAAATATTTTTTCCCATTCTGTTGTATGTCTCTTCATTCTATTGAACATTTCCTTTGCTATGCAGAAGCTTCTGAGTTTGATGTAGTCCCATTTCTGTAGTTTTGCTTTTGTTGCCTGTGTTTGGGGATCTTGTTCAAGAAGTCATCCTGTATACCAATGTCTTAGAGTGTTTCCCCTAGGTTTTCTTCCAGCAACTTCATAGTCTCAGGAAATGTGATCTCTCTCTCTCTCTCTCTCTCTCTTAGCATTATTGTGAGTATAAAATAAAACCATAATTTATAGCACAGTGACAGGAACATGGAAGTTTCAATGTACATTTGTTTTTCTCTTTTCTTTTGCTCTAATAACATTCAATCCTTAACATATACATGATCAGAACTAAAGAACCCTCTAAAAGGTGACTGATTTTTGACTCTTGCTTTTCAACACAACTAAGCATTATGAAAGGCTACCAAAACAATTAATTCTGCTGTATTAAAACTGTATTAACAAAAAAATTAGACTTGCTTTGTACTGAGCTTAGACAGGAGGGGAACTTATGTAACACAAATGAAAAACCAGCTCATGTATTAATTTGGCCTTTGCAGCATTCCCCAAGGATCCAGAGATTCATTTGAGTGGCCCTTTGGAGGTTGGAGAACCAATCACAGTCAAATGTTTGGTCCCTGATGTATACCCGTTTGATAGGCTAGAAGTGGATTTACTGAAAGGTGACTACCTCATGAAGAAACAGGACTTTCTGGAAGACATGGACAGGAAGTCCTTGGAAACCAAGAGTTTGGAAGTAACCTTTATTCCAGTCATTGAAGATATTGGAAAACTTCTTGTTTGCCGAGCTAAATTACATATCGATGAAATTGATTCTGAACCCAAAGAAAGAGAGACCACCAAAGAACTACAGGTCTACAGTAAGTACTTGTGTTCTGTGGTCTAACTTTACTGGGAATTCAATCTTGGATGTATATGGCAATCAACTTAGCATTAAGTCAGCAAGAAATTCATCTGTAGTTTTTACTCCATTTTTGTTCATTGAAAACTAATATGAAGATAATTCAAATGTTTGTGGAATACTGGAATTATAAGGTAAGCTTAGTTTGGTGCAAAAATATTTGCAAACCATGCATAAGAAAAAACTTCAAAACAGTTAGGGAAAATACATATTGCAAAAAAACCCTAGGCTTGACTAATTTGTAAAATAGTTACAAAGAAGAATATTTCAGCCCAAGAGGAGAAAAATTTCTAATAGTTAGGGCTATCCGAAAGCCACATGAGTGTTTTATCAGGCAATGTGCTTGTTCTCCCAGTAAACCTTAAAACTGACTTGGAGGAATACTTGGAAGGATTGCTTAGATGAGACTCTTACTGTAGGTGAGGAATTGAACTGCATGCCTTGGAGGATGCTTCTTAATTTCTGAATATGCATGAGAATTAGAAAACACCAAACACCTAAAAAGTAACTTAGTCAAGTTAGCCAGAAACTAGATTGACTATCATTTAATGACTCAGCACTTCTTTTTCTACTAATATGGCAGAGTAAGCTTGTCAAATCTGTACAAGCACATAAACACTGCTTGTGAGAGAACTGCACTGCTCTTATTGGATTCAGATGATAGTCAGCAATTGCTCATATTGTGCCCTGCCTTTTCAGTTTCACCCAAGAATACAGTTATCTCTGTGAATCCCTCCACAAGGCTGCAAGAAGGTGGCTCTGTGACAATGACATGTTCCAGCGAGGGTCTACCAGTTCCAGAGATTTTCTGGAGTAAGAAACAAGATAATGGGAATCTACAGCGCCTTTCTGGGAATGCAACTCTCACATTAATTGCTATGAGGATGGAAGATTCTGGAATTTATGTGTGTGAAGGAGTTAATCAGATTGGGAAAAGCAGAAAAGAGGTGGAATTAATAGTTCAAGGTAAGAAGACTGTGACTAAAGAATCAAGTTGCTGTCATTGTATTTAGGCAATAGTGATACAGCTTCAAATGCTGAAATTGCTTCCTTAAATTCATTGATTATATGTCTGATTTCCATAGATTTTAGTGCAAATATGTTTGTCCTACTCGTGCAACTTTGAAAACTTTCCTCCCAGAACTTCCCATGGCTCTGCTTTCTGATTCTTTTCCAAGTTGCATCATTTCTTCACTGCCTCATTCCTTGACTTTTATTCTTCCTCCTTCTCCTTGGATAAATGTCTTTATATTTTCAAGTTACCACACCAGATTCTATTATCTTCTCACTCTTGGCTCCCAAGAATTGGGCTATAATATTCTGGTTACTACCAAAGTTCTGTTTCCACTCCATATTAACAGCCCCTGATAGTTCTATCCTAAAATGTTCCCTAGAATCTGACCTCTTCTTCAACCCTCTTGCCACTGCCTTAGTTTATCATCTCTCACTTGCATTCTTGCATAATGTCCTTAAATAACAGCATTCACAGGATGCCAGCTATGTTTCTGACACTTTACACATGTTATTTGTAATCTTTAAGAAATAACTAAAGGGTAACTATTTTGCATCCGTTTTAAAGATGAGAGAATTGAATCTCAGAGAGATTAATACTGGCATCATGTATTGATTGTATATCTAACACACTTGCCAGAAATTCTGCATTCTATATATTTTCTCATTACACTTCTTTATAAAGCTGTAAGGTTAATAAAAACTTAATCTCAGCATGGTTCAGAATTTGTCTACATCAAACAGCTCATTATCTGAATTGACTATGATTTTACTAAGGCTTGTTTTAATCCCAAACCCCATTTCTTTCCAGTTATTTAAAAATTTCAATTTTATGATCTATTTTTTAAAAATAACACTATTTCAATGGACAAATCATAATTCAGTTATGAGGTACAATGTGATGTTTTATGAGGTACAATGTTAAATGATTAGGCTAATTAACATATTCATCACCACACTTAATATTTTTTGAGGCAAGATGTTTGAAATGTACTCTTAGCTATTTTAAATAGACAATGCATTATAATGGTCTGTAGTCACACTACTAAGCAATAAATCTCAAGAAAGTATTCCTCCTAACTATAACTTCGTGCCTGTCAACACCTGTCTTCCAATCCCCTTGCTCCACCGCAGTCCAGCCTCTGGTAACCACCATTCTACTCTACTTGTGTGAGGTCAACCCTTTGAGATTACACAGGTAAGTCCTGTAGGTTCTTCCATGCTGTCATAAAGGACAGAATATCCTGTTTCATTGTTAAAGGCTGAATACTACTCCTTTGTGTTGTGTAGTTCACTGTCTTTCATTGGTCTCCCTGCTAACATTCTGTCCCTAAGATAATGAGTCCCATATACTGCTAACAGAACTAATTACTTTAAACACAAAAAGATGTTCATTTTATATGAGTTCAACATTTGTGAAATAGTCCCAGATAACTCTTCTCAGTCTGGTCAGAAACTATGTTTGCAGCTTTGTTGATGCCTTTGTACCTCTGTTCATGCTGTTCCATCTGTCTGGAATGGCTTTTCCTTATCATTCACCTGGCAAAGTCTTAGCCTTCCTTCAAGACAAAGCTCGAGTTAGTGTCCCAATTCCAGAATGTGTCAGGCAAAGCTACTTCTTTCTCCCTTTGCATTCACTCACTACTTCTTATAGTCACATATGCTCTTATGTTCAATTCAACACATTAACTAAGAGCTCTTGTCTGAGAATACAAAAATTGTTCCTGGTGCTAGGGGAAAAGGCATGAAAAAGATACTGTCATTGCTCTGGGGAAGCTGACAAATTGGCCAGAAGGGACAGGCACATAATTAGAGTTTCAATATATTCTAGCAAGAACCAAAATATTTTATCTATTGAAATGTACCTTTTCATCAGACTATAAGGTTCCTTAGAGGCAGAAACTTTCTTTCTCTCTCTCACTCTGTGTGTCTTTTAGTGTTTGGCTACACAGCACATTTTCTGCCATCTAGGAAGTATTTGGCAAATGCTTATTGAATGAATGAACAAATTATTTTTAAAAATGACTGACTTATTTATTTATTTGAAAGTCAGGGTGAGAGATGGAGATAGAGATAGAGGAGATAGAGAGAGAGGAGATAGAAAGAGAGAGATAGAAAGGGATAGAGAGAGAAACAGAGATAGAGATAGAGATAGAGATAGAGATAGAGATAGAGTAGAGATAGAGATAGAAAGATCTCCCATTTACTGATTCACTTCCCAAATGGCTACATTCTGGCTGAAGCCAGGAGCCCAAAATTCCATCCAGGTCTCTCACATGGGTGTCCAGGGCCCAAACACTTGGATCTTCTGTTTCTGCTTTCTCAGGTGCATTAGTAGGGAGTAGGATCAAAGTGGAGCAGCCAGCACTCAATCTGGCTCTCCAATATGGAATGCTGGTATGACAGGCAGCATCTTAGCCTGCTATATCATAATGCCCTCACTGTGAATAAATTCTAAGCATGAATGACACAAATTTCAAAAATAGAAAGGCATGCGATTTGAACATGGGTAATCAAAAAAAGTATGAGCTTATCATCAGTACTTAACTTAGTTGAGTGTTCTGTTAGTGTTCTCAAGAGCTAAGGGAAGATGTTACATTAACAGAAGTGTGTAAAGCTTATCATCCATCCTGGAATAATTCTACCCCATGATAAGCTGTATCCTATTTCATATGTAAAACAAATCTGTTCTGGGTTGGAGAAGGTTGTTTCGCATCACATGGGCACATGTGACCTTAAATACTGAAGATACAGTTGAACTTTGACAGTACCTTTCAACTATTTGTGAGTTCCTGCCCATGGAACTACAAGTTCATATAAAAATAGTGTAACCACTGTAAAGAACAATCTGGGAATTGATCACAGGCAGAAAATGTGTCTCTTTTTAAAGTTCCCAATTCTTAAACTGGCATAAAAGAAATTCAGAAACTTTCTGTTCTGAATTATCTCTTCTTCAAAATCTAGCAGCATGTCAGTTTATTGCATAATTTAAAAACACCCTTATTTGGAAAATACCAACAGGTCACAATTAGACAAACCAACCTGAGAAAAATAACTTCTCCTGGCACAGAGGAGAACTCTGCAAAATGTGGTGCATTTGGATTACCTATATATTATTGAGATTTCTTTCTTCTATCTCTAACCTACTATTTATAAGGAAGATTTTAGTGGTTTTCTGTGGGGTCTCAACAGTCACTTTCAGAGTTTCTCAACCACTCCGAGTTTCTTGAGGGGAACAGAGACAATACTTGGGATTCCCTTTCTCTCTAAATGGCTGTCATCTGAAAGAAGCCTATGTGCCCAGCAAGGATAGCACTGGCAGCCAAAGAGCTTTCCTGGATATTTGAGGCTCAGGAATTTGCCTTCACAATTCAGCTTTTAACCCCTGAAGTAATTGTGAAGTGTTTGTATATTGCATCAAAATAAAATTTGGAGGTGGTGTGTGTATCACTCTAAGGCTTAGGTTTTTTTCTTTGCTTTCAACATAACTTGATGTGGCAACATAAGCTCTAAGCACTGCAACATTATGGACATCATATCTTGTCAGAAGATATCTTTGTAGCTTTCCCAACACCTTTCCCAACACCTTTTTAAGATTTCATTTTGTATCCACATGAGGATGACTTGATTTGCTTATTCTGCAACTGGAAAGCTGGGTTTGTGAATCAGACCCACCTGACATCAAGTCCTTGCTGTGCAAGTGGGTAGTTATTTGGCATTTATGAGCCTAAATTTCCTCAAGAAGAAAGGAGAGGAGATAAAGATAGAGGGAAAAGTAGAAGAAGAAGTAGAAAGAGGAGAGAAGAAATAATAGTATGGTTCAAGGAATTATAAGAATTAAATGAGATAATAAATGTAAAGCAGTTAAAGATAATGCTTGAAACAAATGAATCACTTAAATTATTTGAGTTACTGTCCACTATAACAGTTATTTGATACACTACATTGGGTCACAGACTGGATTTTTGAAAAGAGGCCAACCTGTCTCTTGACAGATTTTTACCTACATTTGTTCTGATAGTCAGATCCAATAGACTATCATGGATTAATTCTTGAAAAATGTGATCTCTGTGTTTGGTCCAGTGGTTAAGATACCAGTTAGGGTGCCCATGTCCCACATGGTAGTGCCTGAATTTGGAGATTGTGCCTCCTGATTGTAGCTTCCCGCAAAGCAGACGCTGGGAGATAAAAGTGATGACTCAGGTAGTTGGGTCAATGACACTCACATGGGAGATCTGGATTGAGCTCTTGACTCCTGGCTTTGGCCCTCACCCAGCCCCAGCTGCTGAGGGCATTGGGAGGGAGCCAGCGGATGGACGATTTCTCTGTCTCTCTGGCTGACAATTAAAAAAATATGCAGTCTCATGTTTTATGGTCCCAAGTGGAAAGAAGTAATTGCTTCTTGGCACAGATGTTAGCTGAAAGGAAATCAAGAAAAATGAAATCATAGGAATGTGATGAAAGAGAAGAGAATCTTACCTTTTCATTATTTTCTTTTCCAGAGAAACCATTTACCGTTGAGATCTCCCCTGGACCCAGGATTGCTGCTCAGATTGGGGACCCAGTTGTATTGACATGTAGTGTCAGGGGCTGTGAGACCCCATCTTTCTCTTGGAGAACCCAGATAGATAGCCCTCTGAATGGGCAGGTGACAAGTGAAGGGACCAAGTCTTTGCTAACATTGAGTCCTGTGAGTTTTGAGAACGAACATTCTTACCTATGTACCGTGACCTGTGGACATAAGAAACTGGAAAAGGGAATTCAGGTGGAGCTCTACTGTAAGTGATTTTCAGAGTTGTTTTCTGTTTATCTATTTTTTCCAGTTCTACAGGAAGAAAGATACTGTTTGTGATAAGAAATGAGATCCATTTGTTTAGGAAGGAAATTTAGCATTGTGAATGGTTCCTAAATCTCTGAACCAAAATGGTTTGATGCACTGTAAGTGATCTAAATCTGAAGTATATATTGCATATGCACACAACCTTTAATTTGGGTCTTGGTGCATTCAAAGACACACCTCCTCCTCATCCCTTTCATAAGTACATGGAGCATATGAGGTGTGAGGTGAGAGCAAGGGTGAGGACCAGTACATGTTCACATAACTGGGTGGGTATGACGGCTGCTCAACTACTCACATTGTGGCTGAGCCCAGAGCCTACAATTTAAAGGCACATTTGGAAAGCTGGTGTGCAGGATGGAAAATAATCAGGCAGTGGAATGCAGGAGAAGCCAACAATGAAGGTAGGGAGTTCAATCTGAGATGGAGGTGCACAGATCTAGCAGCTCAGGTGGGAAGCAGGATCTGGAAGCAGCAGCAGGTTTGAATTGCTCGGCACTGAATGCATACACTAAATTGTCCCCTTCATAAAAATCCTCTATAAGCTCAAATCTCTGTGAATTGATATTGACAGCATTCCTGTCTATAATGAACGAGAGACAGAATATGTGAAGTGACCACAGGCTTGCTTCTTTTAGAGAGTTCATTCTGCCCTGTTTAATTCAGCAGGACTAAAAGGAATGCACTGTAGACATGTTGAACCAGAGCCTTGCCTGACTTGGGTTACCCCCTCCCCCTGGATTTTGTTCAGAATGAGTTAGAGCATGTCTATAAAGGGATTTGGATCTCTCAAGTGAGGGTAAATTTTATTGTGTTACCGTATTACCCGGAGTCCAGGATCTGCTGATGTAGGCACATTCCCAGCAGAAATGAGAACCAGCAGTGAAGTCTTACTGCAATATGGAAATCATTGAGAATATGCCCCTTTAACAACATTTCCCTTAAAGAAAACCAATTTCTAACATTATGCTCGCCCTTTAATGACTATTTGGGTCTCATTTTTTTATTGATCTGGATAAGATAAATGTCATTCATTAGACTCTAAGTCCCTTAGATTATATTCTGAATAAATGAGTAAAAGAGTTCTTTTTTTTTAAGTTACAAGTATTTTCTGAGAATATTTAAAACTTGCTGCCCAAATTCGGTCATCAGAAAAATTAAATGTCTAAATTGAGAGCTTCCCTATGGGTCTTACTTGATACTGTGAGGCAGCACAGTTCAGTGAACCCAAAAATGGGCTCTGGGGCCAGAGAAGCATGGATTCGGAGCTCAGCCTGGTGATGTACTACATATGATGCATAATGAAAGGCTCTTACCCCTGTAAGTTTCTGCTTTTCTAGCTGTAAAATAAGTTGAATAATAACCATTTTATCAGGCTGCTTTGAAGACTGAGACAATGAATATTAAGGGACTGCATCACAGCACATATTTAAAACATTTGGAATGTGCAGTTAAGAAAATAAGCTGGTAGAAACTGATGTATTCTTAGGAATCAGGCCATGTGCTCAGCCGGATTGCATCATTAGGAAGAGGAAAGATAAATAAAAATGTTCATTACTGATAACTTGATGTACTAAGCATTTTGTCTCCACATTTGCTGTTTATATTTGCATGTAATGTAATCAGCACATATTTATACTTAATATGATTATTTATAAATCAATGATTAATGATTGTTCTATCCCAGGTGAGATAAAGCTGTCATTTTGAGACCTTTGCAGCAAGTAGAGCTCAGCTCAATTTGTCCTTGAATGCCACATGTAAATATTGCTTTTGCTTGATATTTGCAGCATTCCCTAGAGATCCAGAAATTGAGCTGAGCGGTCCACCAGTGAATGGGCGCCCTGTCACTGTCAGCTGCAAAGTTCCTAATGTGTACCCTTTTGACCGGTTGGAGATTGAATTACTTAAGGGAGAGACCATGATGAAGAATAAAGAATTTTTGGAGGAAGAGGATAAGAAATCCCTAGAGACCAAAAGTTTAGAAATGACCTTCATCCCCACCATGGAAGACACTGGCAAAGTTCTTGTTTGTCAGGCCAAGTTACATATTGATGAAATGGAATTTGAACCCAAACAAAGGCAGAGTACACAACCACTTTTTGTCAATGGTAAGTACATATGTGATGTATCCACATTTTATACTATAGATTTGTTTGTCATGTTGGCTAGGCAATAGTTAACATAAGGTTAATAGTTAAAACTGGTGTGGAAATAAACTAACTGAAAAGAAATTTCAAAATGATGATCACAGCAAATTTTCACTCAAAACTTAAAATAATTGCCATATATTTTCTCAAGATTTTATGGGTTGGCCATTTGAGGAGGGAAGAACTGGGCAGTTATTCTGCTCCTATTGGTATCAGCTGGGCTCACGCATGGGTTTTTTTTCAGTCAGGCAAGCAGGGCTGGCTGGCCTCGCACAGCTTCATGCATGTGTCTGGGACCTTCCTCTGAGATGTCTAGGGCTCCCTTTCTTCACGTGTGTCATCCTCAAGGAAGGTGGCCTACGCTGCTTCTCCAGAGCACAGCGTTTCAAGAAGATGATAATGAAGGCAGCCTGCTATAGCCTGAGTTTGGGAGTACGGCAGTGTTTCTTCCACTTCCTGTCAGCCAAAGTGAGTCACGAGGTCATCCCAGATTTAAGCAGTAGAAAAATAGCCCGTACCTCTACAAGAGGAAATTCAAATGACTTATAGTCATGTTTAATTTACCATAAGTGGCAGTATACATCATCCTTAACCATCCGTTCTTTAATAGTAAGAAAATTCTTATAGAATATGCTTTCATTAGGAAACTCCTCTGGCACAGTGTGTCCATATTCTATTCTATCATTCTTAACTCCTGAATCGAGTGGGAAGAGATATCTCCTGTGGTAAAAATTATCAACGTTTATAAGCAGTTGTAAATCTCATTGGAACTCAAGGGATAAAGGGAGGAAACTAACAAGTGCTTTTACTTTTCAGTTGCCCCCAGGGATATAGCTGTCTGGGTCAGTCCCTCGTCCATCGTGGAGGAAGGCCGTTCTGTGAATATGACGTGCTCTAGTTATGGCCTTCCAGCTCCAAAAATCCTGTGGAGCAGACAACTGAAAAATGGGGACCTACAGCCTCTTTCAGAAAATACAACTTTAGCCTTAATTTCTACAAAACTGGAAGATTCTGGTATTTACGTGTGTGAAGGGATTAACCTGGCTGGAAAGAGCAGAAAAGAAGTTGAATTAGTTATCCAAGGTGAGAAAAGTGTGGTGAATGAGCTATTGCTAGTATATTTGGGAGGTGTGTTATCAGTTGGTCTTAATCCACTGCGCCACAGCACCAGCCCCGGTTGTGTTATCAGTTAGGAATAAAGTTCTGTTTGAAAACAAAAGTTTTACTAAAATACTATGTTAAGAGTTTCTGAAGAGTTCATGGTGCTTCCCATGCATGGAAAGCTCCTGGCATGATACCTTATCATGAACCATTCTAAGTCGCTTATCCTGAAATGTTGTTAACCTTGAGTGAAATGGGAACTCCGCCAGAAGTTCTAGTAACATGTGTGAAGTAATGATTATGAGGTTGAAATAAGGCTAGGAAGGGGTATATATGTATTTGGAAATTATGTAGAACCAAAGCTGACATATATGACCAAGTTGGACCCTTTGTGGCAATCTTTCAAGGTATCTCCTAGTATTTGCTTAGAAGCCTAAGAAGGCACTCAAATCTTTGATAAATTTTGAAATTAAGAGCAGCAGTGACTATGTCTTCTGCTTCACCAGCCAGATGGCACAGAACCACTAGAGTGGATTAAAGTTGTCAGCTATAATACTGCCTTCTCCAAAATGGAGACCCAGGACTGAGAACCAAGCATTTCCTACTACGCACAATGAAATCATAGGCAATTACAAACAAAATGATGACATGATCAATTCGGACTTACCCCTGCACCTTCCCTTTGGGTATCTGGATTCTTTTCTTCACCGAAGTGGTCATTTTTCTCTCTTATCTCTTAGTAGTATTCCCAGTAAGGTATTACTGGCTTTCCCGTTACCTCATCTTGTTGAGATGTATATCTTAAAGGAAGAAACTTGGGAGGGTCACTCACAATATTATTAAAATCTTTAAGAATGATATGTATCCTAGCACTATGGTCTTGATCAAGGCATAAAATATTTGAGCTAGGACATTTAACTTAGTAGTTAAAACACCAGTTAAGATTCTCGCATCCCATTTCACAGTGCCTGAATTTGATACCTAGTTCTAGATTCGTGCTCTTGCAGACTCTGGGAGACAGCAGTGATAGCTCAAACAGTTAGGTTCCTGCCACCCATGCAGGCTACCTGGATGGTATTCTCAACTCCTATCTCTTCCCAGCCCCAGCCATTTTCATTGTGGGCATCTGGGAAATGCAGCAGGGCATTGGAGCTTTTTCTTACTGTGGCTGCCTCTCAGCCTCTCAAATAAAGCATATTTTTTAAAAAACATAGAAACTTCAGAATCCTGTAAAGGACTTTGTACTTTAAGAAAATTCTGCAAAATAGTGTGAAGAAATTAATTTCCTCTTTCATAACAGTATTTGAATTCTATAACTATTTATTAAATATGTGATCTTTGTGTTAAGCTGGATAAAGAATTATATTCTAAAAATGAAGCATAAGACATGTCTTCTGTTGTTTAAAACATCATCAATTATAATAATTCAGTAAATGCTTGTTTTTAGATACTTGTTTTCTTGAATTGTTATAACAAATTTTGAGATTCTCATTTTGTTTTAAGATTCATTTTATTTATTTGAAAGGCAGAGTTACAGAGAGAGTGGGAGAGACAGAAAGAGCTAGAGAAATCTTCTATATGCTGGTTCACTCCTGAAATGGCCACAATAGCCAGGGCTGGGCCAGGCTGAAGCCAGGAGCCAGGAGCCTCATCCAGTTCTCCCACATGGATGTAGGGGCCCAAGGACCTGGGCCATCCTCTGCTGCTTTCCTAGGCACATTAGCAGGGAGCTGGATTGGAAATAGAGCAACTGGGACTTGAACCAGAACCCACAAGGGATGCTGGCATTGCAGACGGTAGCTTAGCCTGCTGTGCCACAATGCTGGCCCCAAATGCTTGACTTCTTTACTTACTCTTCTTAACATTTAATGCAAGCATGAGTACTTCTGTAGAAGCTATTGTTGATGTCACTAAATTAATATGGAATTGGTTTATATTTCACTCAATCAGCAGTGCCTTTTAAATTCTCTTTATAGTTGCTCCAAAAGATATACAACTGACGGCTTTTCCTTCTAAGAGTGTCAAAGAAGGAGACACTGTCATTATTTCCTGTACTTGTGGGAATGTTCCTGAAACTTGGATAATTCTGAAGAAAAAAGCGGAGACAGGAGACACAGTGCTAAAGTCTATAGATGGTGCATATACCATTCGTAAGGCCCAGCTGGAGGATGCAGGAGTGTATGAATGTGAATCTAAAAATGAGGTTGGCTCACAATTAAGAAGTATAACACTTGATGTTAAAGGTTAGTTTTTGTTTCTGTCTTTTCATTTTTGTAATAGTTCAGAGGTGTCAAGGATTATAAAGAAGTTCTAGTATTAGATGGATGAGTTGACAAAATAGAACTGAATTCCTCATTGATTGGGGTTACTTCTTAATGTTTCTGAAAATAATCAAGCACAGATGCTCTAACCTATAGAGTTTAGCCAGGAAGTTAACATTAATCATGAGTGAATGTGGAATTTCCATTTGCTTTTTTTCAAGGTTGACAATTCATCATTGGTCTCCTAGGTCTTGCATGTGCTAAGTATTTAACCATGTTTTCAAAACCATTCCTTGAGGGTTACAAGGGAACTAAAGAAGTAGCATTAGCACATTGAAAAGATGGGTTCTATTCAGGCTATCTTCCTTCCTACCAGAAGGGACCACTGTTTACTGAACATAGAGTAAATGGCTAGTTTCTAGATTGACTCTTTTCAGGATAATAATTGGGATTAGCAATCTTGATCCTGATTGACATAAAAAAAAGCCATTTAAACTACAGAAAAGCCTTTGTAAAAATCCAAGTCCCTTACCTTCCTACTCTTTTCTGATGGAGAGAGAGAGGAAGAGGGAATGGTTTCATGGGAGAAAGCTAATCTTCTAACCCCTCTTGTGAACGCACAGTAGGTAGGATCTGTTGATCTTATTGGTGGAAGCAGAATATATTAGCCTTGACAAATCAGTCTCATACTCTTTGCATAATAATGAGTTCCTATTGTGAATTAGAAGCTATACTTGGCATTGGCAGTGGTGTGAACAGGACTGCAAACAAATGCCAACGCTTAATACGTCTGGCACTTGGTTACCAGAGTTACCAACCACTTATCAGTGTAGAGAAAATTTGAACCTAAATCAGATAAAAATTTTAGTCCTTTGGCCAAATTTCTCAAGATTGCAAGCCTTACGATATGATTTCTTTTCTTTTCTGTTTTTTTTTTTTTTTTTTTGGCTTATATTACCATATGTTTTCTGTCTTCACAGTACCTCCTCGAAACACGACAATATCAATACATCCATCTAGCAATGTTAAAGAAGGGGAAAATATCACAATTACATGTAAAACTTTTAGTCATCCGCCTGCAGTGATTATCCTGAAAAGAGTTGATCTTGCCAATGAAATTACTATGTGTTCAAAGAATGGAACATTTACCTTATACCATGTCACTCAAAGTGATACAGGGGTATATGTAATCAGAGCTTCCAATGAGGTTGGGGATGATTCTGGACGGATTGAGATCTCAGTTATGAGTAGGTTGAAATTCCTTCATTCCTATTTTCTTTGATCCATGATTCCACCAAGCCACCTTTAATTGGGCCTACCCCCAAGAAATCAGACTGCTAACATTTCTGTAATGCTGTTTATAACTAATTGTTCTCACATCAAAACTTATTCTCCACTTTTTAACTTTTTCCCATACATAGCTGTTTTTCTAATTGCTTTATTATATTAATTCTCACACATTTGCCACTGTTTGCTCATATTTACATGAATAACCACAGACTATTAGGCACTGAGCTACACATTCATGCCCCTAAACTGAGTATGGTTGAAAATAGCTAGATATGAATAGAGATTAAAAAAAAAAACCTGACATTTTTCTGAGTATTTTAGATAATTTTCCTTTGTATATGGCTGGGCTTATTACTCATTCTGTTTTGTTTTCATTTAAGTATATTACATTGATAGAAATGGTTAAGAATCTAGTATTTGCTGTGTTTATACAACTAGTAGCAAATTATATTTGAAGGTTGCCCTGGCAACTGACTCAACAGAAAATTTGTGTTTTTCTGAAGATGTCTAAGGCAGAAAATGAAAGACAAAAAAAGTATATATATGTATATGTATATATATAAGTCTATATGTATATATATGTATATGTATATGTGTGTATATATATATACATGTACATGTATATATATAAACATGTATATGTGTGTGTATATATATATATATATATAATAAAACCATGGGAATTGAAATACTATTACCCACCATGTCATGTCATCAATATTGAAAATTAACCACAATTATGGTGATGGATATCTCATTAAAATACTACCTTTATACTTTGGCTAGCTGAACTCTACCAATGGAAAGTACAAAATGAGACAGTAATGTTTAGGGTAACTGCTTTTCCTTTAACAACTTTGAATAAATTTACTTCACATCATCTGATGTTAGTGATTCCTTTCTACCTGGTAGACCTTTAGTGATTAGAAAACTCCAGAAGGAATGTAATAATAACCAAACTCAAATGATTTATTCCTGCTAGAACTGAGGCAACAAATATGCCACTTCATAAAACTTCACATTTGTGAGGTCATACAATGCTGTGAAAACAAAAGAGAAAGAGAAGCAAGTTTTCAAAAAATTCTAAGCTGTATTCTTCAGTGTTCTTGTAGGGTTCAAGTGTTAAACAGCATTGAAGCTGCCTGATTATGTTTTAGATTAAATAGAAACTAACTTGAAAGTTTATGTTTATTGGTACTTTCTGAACTCCATTTTAAACTAAATCACAAAATGATAGGATGTAGCAAGAAAAAAAACCTGTTAGTGAGTTGTCAGCTATGCCAGCCGCGTGTCAGGAACTGGGTGTTCAGTGGTAGATCAATGAAAACGTAGACACACATGTCTTTTTCTAGTTTATAATCTAGAGGAGGAAACATGATTTAATAATTATAAGGACAGGAAGTGCTAAGAGCTATGAAGGGAAAAGGTAGTAATAGGTTTTGAGAGTGTGTTTGGATTCTTTGTCTGGACTGGGGAGATGTGGTTTGTAGGATGCATCTCTGAGCAAGTAACGTTTAAGTTGAAACATGATGTATACTATCCAATGAAACTTAGTTTATCATGAGATTATATGAAAGCAGAAGAGGAGTAACCTGATAAAATGGCCCACTTCAGACATAAAAAACAAGGTTTTCTGTAAAGCTCTGAAAAAGTCATCAGCAAGAATTCTTTCTGTTACTATATTATTTATAGTGTTTACCTATAATGTTGACAAACCACATGTTATAAGGATTGCTTTAGAGAAATTATTAGTCACTTCAATTCATGGTGATCAGAGCCTCGGTTCTTTAGTAGATTTTTCTGTTTCCCAATGAAAGCACCTCTGTTCAACTCCTGCTCTTGTAAATTAGCTCTAAAGGTTGCACCTTCCGTTCCTCTCTGCAAGTGAACCTGAATATATTAGAATCAAGTTCGTAGAAGTCCACAACTGTCATCTTTAGATCCATCAAGACCATAGCAACCAGCAGCTAATGCTTTGAGTAATTCAGAAAAATATGCATTTGGGGTCCTATTGGTCCTTATAGCTGCTTTGTTTTGCTTCTCTTTGGAGAACTAGTTGTACTGTTACAATAAAACATGCTACCATTATTAAATGATTTCTTTTTGTACTAGACATTAATAGCATCTATTCTGTTATTTTCCAGGAAGAGAAAATAGCAAGGACTATTTTTCTCCTGAACTTCTCGTGCTCTATTGTGCATCCTCCTTAATAATACCTGCCATCGGAATGATCATTTACTTTGCAAGAAAAGCCAACATGAAAGGATCATACAGTCTGGTAGAAGCACAGAAATCAAAAGTGTAGCTAATGTTTGAAATGTTCATCAAGAGATACTATTTATCAATCCTGAATATGGCTCATCATTCCGCAAGAAAAATGAGCTGAGAGTATAAACTTCCATGAATGTATTCAATGTGGAAAGAAATGGCTGCCTATGTCCCTTGCTGTGACCAAGAAGCCAAAGGAAAACTTTCTGCATGAAAAATTGTTACTGCCATTAAGATGAGAGGACTGGAGAAGTTCCCTGATGTGTATATAAAATAGCATTATCTGTATATATGTAAAATACAATTAATCCATAATTGTTTAAGTTTGCTTGGAATAGCAACACTCAATATTCAGATTGTTAAAATAATTAAATAGTATTGCTTAAACTGTAATAAGTTAATGCATCTTGGGAAAATTTAATGTTAACATCAACTGGCAGCTTACCGAAGTCATCTTTTCATATTTTATTTCCTTTAACAAAATTTTATTCCTATGATGTTTATTGACAATAATTTTATGTCTTATAAAGATGCTAGGGTTTTATATTTTTTATAGGCAAATGATTAACAAAGAGAACAGTGGATTGACTTTCAGGTACTAAATACCTCAACCTATGTTATAATGGTTGACTGGGTTTTTCTGTATGGTACTGGCATGGTACGGAGAAGTTTTATAATTTTGTTTCTTATTCAGATGCTTGTGTAACTTTACCAATGTGCTCTAAAGGTGGAATTTCTTTTGATTGTTTTTGTAAAGGTTTAGTTTTTTGTATAGTAAAGCAATAGTTTCTGGAATTGGAAATGTTGTGTGTTTGTTCATTGTAAGCTTCCTCCTTTAGTAATATTGCAGCTCTTTCTGAAATGCCAAGTTATAAGAGTGAGAAGTTCAAACTCTGGAAATAATACAGATTCTCAAAATTTGGCCCCTGGACTACTACTTATCACTGAGGGAACTTGAGTAAATTCATATTTCTTGATGCCATCCAAACCTATTGAAATACTTGGAATCTGTAATTGTTCAATAAAAAAAATAAGGTGTACACAAACAGAATGTATGTAGATAAACATGTACATGTTAATGGGGAACAAATGAACACCTGTGTGTTCCACCAAGTCTGAGAGAGAGAACATTACTATTTTTCAGAGCCTCTTATATGCCGTGTACTGATAGCAACTCTTTCTTCTCAGTGAGCAACAAGCACTAAGTATCTTAAATGATATATATTGACTGTTCCCTTAATTTCTTTGGAGGTTTTACAACTGTATACAGGAGTCTTAAAAAGTTCACGGAGATGGATATTATGAAAAAACCATGCATGAGTTTCAAATAATCTTTGGACCAAAATAAACTTATTTTTAATTCAATTTGCACAAAGTTTTAACAGTACACTTATGTATATATTCCTAAGTAATACATTATTTCATCTTTTGATTTTTATATATTCAAATTACTTATTTGCTTTGTGACTTTGTTCTGTCAATTAAATTACATTCTTACATAATTCATCCATGATGTGAGTAGTTATATGTCATTCATTTTATTGCTGTATAGTATTCCACTATAAGATTTTTGCCACAATTTCATCCTTCAACTCTTGATGCACATGTGAATTTTTTCCAGTTTATTTTTCTATTATGAAGAAAGTTTTTATAATTGTTGTACATGTTCTTGGCTAACATGTACAAGAATTTACCTAAAGTGCAATTCCTGCAGAATCAATACTACTAATGAATTTGATGGATTGTTGTATACATACATACTGAAGTTTATAGGGAAAGCCAAAGTGATTAAAATAGTTTATATTTTCATCAGCAGCGCATCAGAGTTTTCAGTACTGAACAACTGACAAATGTGGTGATATCTGACTTTTTCAAAGATTTTCCTCCCTTATATTTGTAAGATAAGTTCTTAATGTTTTAAAACTGCATTTCCCTGATTATTAAGAGACTGAGAGGCCGGCGCTGTGGCATAGTAGGTTAATTATCCGCCTGCAGCGTCGGAATCCCATGTGGGTGCCGGTTCTAGTCCTGGCTGCTCCTCTTCCAGCCCAGCTCTCTGCTGTGGCCCGGGAGTGCAGTGGAGGATGGCCCAAGTGCTTGGGCCCTGCACCCACGTGGGAGACCAGGAGGAAGCACCTGGCTCCTGGCTTCGGATCGGCGCAGCTCCGGCTGTTGCAGCCATTTGGGGGTGAACCAATGGAAGGAAAACCTTTCTCTGTCTCTCTCTCTCTCACTGTCTATAACTATACCTGTCAAATAAATAAATAAAAATTTTTAAAACAAAAAAAATAAAAATAAAAAGGCTGGCGCTGCAGCTCAATAGGCTAATCTTCCTCCTGTGGCGCTGGCACCCCAGGTTCAAGTCCCTGTTGTGGCGCCGGTTCTGTCCCGGTTGCTCCTCTTCCAGGCCAGCTCTTTGCTGTGGCCTGGGAGTGCAGTGGAGGATGGCCCAAGTGCTTGGGTCCTGCACCCCATGGGAGACCAGGAGAAGTACTTGGCTCCTGGCTCCTGCCATCGGATCAGCGCGGTGCGCCAGCCGCGGCGGCCATTGGAGGGTGAACCAACGGCAAAGGAAGACCTTTCTCTCTGTCTCTCTCTCTCACTGTCCACTCTGCCTGTCAAAAAAAAAAAAAGTTATGATCTAGGGTTTTAAATTAAGAGAGAGAGAGAGAGTGAACATATTTTCATATACTTAAGGATGTTTTCTGTTTAGGATCATTTGAGATTGCTCTGAAACACCTGTACATTTCTTTTACCGGATTTCTAGAAGCTGGACATCTTTTCCTTACTGATTTTTTTTAAAGATTTACTTTATTTATTTGAAAGAGAGACTTACAGAGAAGTAGAGGGAGAGACAGAGAGAACGATCTTTTTCATCTTCTGGTATACTTCCCAAAAGGTTGCAATGGCCAGGGAAGGGCCAGGCTGAAGGCAGGATCCAGCAACTCTATCCGGGTCTTCCATGTGGGTGGGAAGGCTTGGATCATATGTTGCTTCTTTCCCAGGCACAATGCAGGGAGCTGGATTGAAGTGAGCAGCTAGGACTTGGACCAAGGCCCATATGGGATGCCAGTGTGTAAGGCAGCAGTTTAACCTGCTGCACCATGACGCCATCTTAGATTCTGATTCTTAGAAGATAATGATGGATACTATTCCTTTGCTGGATTTCAGTTTTACAAACATCATTATGTAGTTTGTGCCTTATGTACTCCACTACCCTACCATGACCTATCTTTTCCTTTTTCAGTATATTTTGATTACTGTAATTCAATTTTTAGCAAATTCAAATTTATTAGCCTGTCCATTTTGGCTTGTGTTTTGTATCATAACTAAGAAATACTTTTATACTCTGAGTTATCATTTCAATCATGCCTCTCCAAAAATATTTTTTATTTGCTTGTCTGTTTCTCACTTAGAATAGTTTTTTTTTTTTTAAATCTGTGATAGAGATAGAGAGAACAAGTATCCCAAACCACTTGTTAAAAAGCCAGTGATTTCTACCCATGACTCCACAACGCCACTTTATCATGCATTTAGATTTCCTTGTGTATCTGTTTCTGGGCTTTCTATACTTTTTCGAAGATATTTGTCTATTCTTGTGCCAAAGCTATCTGTATGAATTAATAACTAATAAAAGAAGTGCCTCTAACTAAATCTTTTTCTACAAAAGTGCTGTGGTCATTGCCGTTTTTGTACTTGAATACATTTTCCAAAAGTTATTTGGTTAAGTTACACAGAAAACATTGTTAAGATTTGAATTTACAGGACACTTTGGAGAGAATTGACATTTTAAAAATACAGAGTCTCCAATCCATGAACAATGTGTAGTTCATAATATGGCTACATTATCTTTGATGTCTTACAGAAGCTTTTCATTATTTTCTTCATTCCAGAAATTTCTTAGTCCTCTTCTCAGTTTATTTCTGGGAAATTTCTTGTGACATTTATTTTAAAAGCTCATGGAAAATAGATATTGTGGAAGTCTATTTCATGGATTTTAAAAAAGTCTGCACCAAAATAAACTTATGTTTTTATTCCATGTTTACATGAACATTCTGAAGTACCTTTTTTGCACGATTACTGGCATTCTACAAATTGTACTTATTGAGGTATAATTTTATACAGTAAAATTTCTTAAGGACCAACACAATCAAGAAATAAAATATTTCTATCACATCAAATTTCCTTCAGGCCCCATTGTAGTAAATCATCTCTACCATTTCTGGTTCTTGGCAAACGATAATCCACTTTTTGTCATTATAGTCTAAAGTATTCTAGAATTTTCTATCAATGAAATCATGCAGCATGCAATCTTTTATTTCTGTCTTTCTTCACTTAGATTAATACTCCTGAGATTCATGTATATTATTATGTATACCAATTTTTTATTGTTAGGGCATACTACTGAGTGGTTACAGCAAAAAGTATTTAATCGTTCATAAGTTGAAAAAATTGGTAGACAACTAAGTTGCTTACAATTTGGGGATATAATCAATAAATTGGCTATAAACATTCAAATAAAAATACTTATGTGGATATAGGTGGAGAGGGTGGTGTGGACTAGGCTTTAATGTCCTTTACTCCACATCGGCATTTATGTTAGGTATCAATATTTTAAATTTTAGCTATCTTAGTATTGTGTCATAATATCTTATAATTTTAATCTGGATTTTCCCAATAACTAATTTTGTTGAGCATCCTTATTTTCTTTGAAGAAGTGTCTATGCAAAACCTTTGCCTAAATTTTTATCAAGTTCTTTGTCTTCATACTATTAAATTCTGAGTTATTTTATATATTCTTAATAAAAATCCTTAATCAGATACATGCTTATGAATATTTTCTCCTAGTAATTAAAATATTGTACTTTCAGATATGTCTCTCCATACACCAATGTGACACTCTCATGATTACTGCAATTTTATTATAAGACTTTAAATCAAGTAATATAAAGCCTTCAATTTTACATTTCTCCATTTTAAGTCCTCCCGGATTCCATATAAGTTTTAGAATTTGGTTATCAATTTCTATAAAACACCCTCCAGGTATTTTGATTGGGATTTCATTGAATCTATATTAATTTGGGATGAAGTGCCCTCAATAACACTGGGTCTTTGAATATATGCACATAGATATCTTTTTTTTTAATTTTTGTACTTTTTTTTTACCATTGTTTTCTTGTTCTCAGTGTGCAGGTCTTATATATCCTTGGCTAACTTCATCTTTAAAAATTTCACAGTTTTTAACACTATGGTAAATTATATTGGTCTTGGTTATCAGTTATTTGTTGCTAATACGTGGACATATAATTGATTTTGTACAATAACTAGATATTCTGCAAACTTGCTAAACTCTTGTAATTCTAGTAGCTATTTTGGTATATTCTGCAAGATTTTCTGCACATAAGATTACCTCTTCTAAAAGTTTGGGTAATTTTATTTCTTCCTTTTTATATTATATTATCTGTTATCTTTACTTGCTGCATTGTCTAGAACTCCCAGTACAATGTTGAATAAAAGTGGAAAGAACAGATATCCTTGCTTTAGTAGTTCTACTCTTTAGAAAAGGGCATTAGATATTTCACCTTTAAATATGGTATGCTACTGACTACAGATTATCTTAGATGTTATGTATGTGCTTGAAATTTTATCGTAAAGAGATTCTAAATTTTTTCAAATAGTATTATGCATCTATTGAGATGATCATGTAGTTCTTTTTCTCTTTGTGTCTGTTATTATTGTGAATGACATTAATTTTTTAATATTAAATAATTTTTTATCATTGAAATTAGCCTATGTGATTGT